GCACAAAATGCACACTTTCCTGAGTTTTACAGTTATTTCTGAATTAGAATCTGATTATATACATACATACATCCATTAAAATTTCTCCCAAAGTGAAAAAAAATCTTATATTTACTTAATACAAAATACTACAGAATTCAATACAATTCTTCCAGTTTAACGATACTGGAAGAAAAGTTTCTAACTTGAGAAAGTAGCCATAATAAACACGAAAAAATGATGTGTGAAAGTGAATGCATAATTTTAGGAGCAAAACAAAACAATAACATATCTCCTTATAGAAGAATCTACCTTAATTATGGTAAAAGTAAACTGTGTAAATGGCAAGAGCAACATGCCCTGTTGGACAGAGCCAAACAGCTTGCAAAAAATTTCATCTCATAACACAAATTTGGTTTCTAATCTTTTGGGACAAGATCCAGGGAAACAAATATCTATCTCAACAGTGACCTCTAGTGGACAAATCTTAAAATGACTGTCTCAAAAAGAAATTCCGCTTTTAAAACAAAAGTAGAAAAACCTTTACAAAACGAACACTTGCCAACAGCACAAGAAGCAAGGATTATATCAAAGAGCAGACTGAAAAGGACTCAGTTAGCAGTGGTGCACGAGAGGAGGCAATCACAATAGCGGGCATAGCAGGGGGCAGAGACAGGAAGCCAGCCCTTGGGATCACTACTAAGTCTCCTTTCTCATAAACACAGAGCAAGCATCTCAGCCTGCCGGGGGAGGGGGGGAGGCCCTTGGCACAACTTGTCACCTACCAACCCATTAATCCACCGGTATTAACTGAGTGACTATTTCATGTTCACCGCACTTTGAGTATTTCTGCAGGGGTAAGATACAAAATAGCATTAGACAGGGCTCCATGCCTCAAGAAACATAAAATACAGTTAATTGTATGAAGAAATTAGTAAATAACTTGAGATCTTAAATATATGAAACTAATTTTAAGTGAAAGAGTAACAGGCCCAGAAGCCATAAGACTCAGAGTGGTAAAAAGAGGCTTAACGGGGAAGTGACACTCGGCTGAGCCCAGGAGGTCGCTGGGTGGAAACATCTGTAACTGGTCATGGCACCAGCCTCCCCTACCTGCAATTCTTAGGGGCACCTGGGAGTGCCATCCACACATCACTGAGCTCTGAAAGGGCCCCATGAATACAAAGATGATAAGACACCAACTCCCAGGGCATTAGGTACTGTTTCCTTAGCGCTCCCACAGTCCAGCACGGTGCTAATGAACTCATGAGACAGGAGTCTGTGGTGGCCACATCTCCTCAAGTCCCTAGGCTGGCGTAGGAGGTGGGGCCGGAGCAGGGCGGGTTCAGAGGAGCACACGCACAGGACGCCCCTCCTTCAGATCTGCGCGGTATCGTGGGGCAAGCGCTGTTTCCGACGGGCTGGCCTGGTGGCAGAACCTCCGCGTCACCCACTGGGCCAGAAAGAACCTCGGTTGGGTTCCCAGATCGAACCTGCCCAGTTGCAGTAAAAGGCAGAAGGGGAAGCTTTACCTGCTCCTGGGCCTCCTGCCTCCTTACATGCGTCCTGGAAACGTGCAGGTCTAGGGAAGTGGCTGCGGGCAGAACGGTTTTCCACTGACTTTTCGATTTCCTGAACTCATCCTCAGGGCCCGACCCACAGGTTTGAATTTCAACAGTGTCTCTGTAACGGTGATGAACCTCTAACGGCAAGCGGCTTGACAGTGCTGAAATATTTTTTTATGAACTGTAACCTAGATAACTTCGTTTCTGCTCACAAATTTTTTTAGAATTTATGGATCATCAGCCCACTTTCAGCTTCCCCGTGGCCACTTTCATACTGCGTTGAGAGGACCTGTCAATGTCGAAACTACCAACAGGGAAAGAAAGTCACCTCAGTGCCACACTGCTCCAGTGGCCCTGTGTGTGGAGTCAGATGGTGTCCCCAGATCGAGGTCCCAGTTTGAGTAAAGCCAGTCATTCATTCCGTAAGTCCACAAGCGGAAATGTCAGAGAATAGTGTGACTGGCAAGCTGAGAGAAAAACACAAATATTTTGCGAGATAAAAGCAATGCTGAGGCGTTTATTTTTTTGAGTCCCTGTGGTTTTAATGCAGCTCTGGCAGCCAGTCCCTATTAAAAACCACAGAAAGTGAAAGACACTGATTACAATAAAAAGTGACAGCAGGGTGTTCTTAGCCACTTACATGTAATGCATATTTATATTGCCATCAAATGGACATATTTACTATAAACACTTGAAAAACCATAGCAAAGTCATTCATTTAAATGCCAGAAAAATAGTAAAAGATGCTAATTTGACCTTAGCGAAACAGCTCGGGTGTCACTGACAATACCCACAATGGCTTGAAACAGAATTTACCAAGACGTTTAATTAGTTTACCAGATTAGGTCAACGGTATCTCAGATGAGGGAAAAAGAAAAAAAATAAGGGAAAGAAGAAATACGAAGTTTGGATTCATTCCGTCAACCTCTTTAACAGCAGACACACTTTAACTCCAAATTATACCTAAATTAATCTCACATTATATGCCTGGAGAAAGAAACTGATCCATCAATCCCTGAGATTTCTCTTTGTGGATGTGTAAGAAGAAAAAAATTACAGCTATCTGAAAGATTTTTTTAAAAACATCGATTAATGATATAATAGAAATAAAACATATTTTGTCTTCTTGTTTAAATGTAAACCGTTTCGCTCTAATGGTGATGCAGATCTAACAACAGTAAGCTCGGCAATTAAACATGTTTATGAACTGCGCGATGGAGAGCTTCAGGAGTTTCTGCGCGCAACCTTTCGGGGAATTCAGCGGTCATGCCATCCACCCTTCAAAACGAACAGCAAATCCCCTGTGACTGGGGTTAGGGTCTCAGTGGACAGCAGGACCATTTGCTACAAAAACAATTCTAGTGGCAGCATATCGCCTGTTAGAAAAATGATCACATGTTGCCCTCATTTTCAGCTTCTCTGGCCCCCACCACTGAAACATGACAAATGTGCCACTCTGCCTTTGCCTTACAAATATGCGCTTTTTGCTAAAAATGAACTAATCTGCCTGTCTCCACCACACGAGGGGCCCTGCCACTCTAAATTCTAGATTATCAACAGCTCTGTGACACTGCTTCGAGCTGTATATAATGTACATACACACATAAATTCATGACACAAATCCCTCAAGATGACATTCTGCTCAATTTCATTGAATTCGGAAAGCTCCCGAACAAATTCTTGCCACATGATTAGAAAATCATTCAAGTCTGCAGGAAATATGGCAAGCGCAAAGAAGTGACAGTCAATTAGGAATGAGAAAGGAGAGCAGGACCCTGTCATTAAAATCTTTAAAGCCACAGCTCTAACAATAAAACGGTCCATATCATTCACACGAAATATTCTTATAAAAGCAGGTATTAAATCTACTACATGTACACCACACAATCATACTATCAAAGCCCAAGAAAATTTTTCTTAGAAACCTGACTCAAGAATTTGAAAAATACCGATGTAAATGTATATAATTTTACAACTTTGTGGTTTTTTCTTCCCTATTGAGCAGGGAAAGAAAATATATCAACAGCTAAATTTTCTCCTTTGAGATGAAAGCAAAAACTCTTACTCTAATATTTGTTGATAATTTTTTTTTTCAGGAAATACTAATGAATGGCCCAGCAGCAGCTCAGGTCTCTGCAGCATTTACCAGCCCTGAAAAGAACCCTCTCCAGAGAAGCAATGTCATTTTTTTTTCCTTCAGTTTAATCACACAATAGGAAAGAGTCCTCAGAATAAAGCAAAGTCCAAAATACGGGAAGACAATATGCTCATGTATCTTAATGTCACCAAAATAAATTCATGTTTCCCCAAATAAACGGTTGTCATTAGTGTCTTCACAGGAATCAAAAAATCAGCAGTATCATCACAGTACCTAAAAGTCAGAAACTGTGAAATAAATGATAACGTCAACTCACTTGTTAGCTTGTTGTGGCTGAGGACCAGCTGCGTGATGTGGGATAAGGAGACTGTAAAGGAATAAAAAAAAAAAAGTCACAGTCAGTTAATGTACCCAAATTACAGCAACACTCCTACAAGGTAAAGTGCTAAATTATTTTTACAGGTTGAAGTGTTACTGCCCACAGAAATAGAAGCAAGGATTCATTTAACACTCTCCATTAAATGTTAACCCGAATTAAGAGAAGTCATATAATGAGCGGTACAATTAGCATAGCAAGTTAGAGCTAATGAGATTAATGTCACTGGATCGGACATTAAAAGGGTCAGTTAGCTTTGCTTGGAGACCTGGTTTCTGCTGGCCCAGCCTTAGTGACCCATCTCAACAAACTGTGCCAGTCTGGGAACTGGCTGACTGTATGGACAGGCACAGAGCTCTCATCTGCATGGAAAAGCCATGAAATCAACAGAAAGATCATGTGGCAGAAGGCCAACCAGTACATTACTTCATCTATACCCACTGTGAACCCAGAAATTCTTCTACACACTTTAATGATCAAAAAAAGAAACAAACAAACAAAATTTTCCTTTAAAAAAATTTGGTTGATGTTTTAATGTACCTACAGATTGCACATCAGTTTTCAAACTTCTTCATGGAGTTTAATTTGCTGAACAGATTTACTTAAAAGATAGTTTTTCCAACTATAAACAAAAACTTATACACATGGATCCACCAAAAAGAAAAAAGGCCCAACAAAAAAGGGATCTGCCTTCCATTTTATTTTTGGTTCTAAAACTTCACTGGATGATCAGCATCACACACACACACACACACACACACTCAATCTCTCTCAATCTCCGCCCCCCCCCTCACTGATGCAGCTAAAAAAAATGCAGTAGAGTTTTTTTCTTTAAGGGAATAAAGCAAAAATTCTTCTCAGGACCACTACTACTGAGTGTTTTTCTTTTTTCAACCATCACAAAGCCATAGAAAAGTTCAAAATACAGTACATAGACCTGGTTTCCTGCCCTGAACCATTTGAGATTAAGATATTGGCCTGATACTCGCAAACTTTAGGGCGGCAGTTCCCAGTCTTTTTGGCACCAGGGACCAGTGCTCCAATGAGAACCTAATGCCTGATGATCTGAAATGGAGTTGAGGTGGTGATGCTAGCGCTGGGGAGCGGCTGCACATACAGATTTAGTTTTGCTCGACCGCTTGCCCAACACTAACCTCCTGCTGTGCGGTCCGGTTCCTAATGGGCCACAAATCGGTACTACTCTGCGACTCAGGGGTGGGGACCCCTGCTTTAGGACATTCCCACAAAGACATCTGCTACATGACCACAAAACAGCCATCCAGTCAAAACCTAACATGTTATATCATCACGATCTAAGCCTCAGCCCTCATCCAAGTTTCTCCAAAGGTGGAAATCTTTTAAGGAAAAAAGGATCCATTTAGAACCCACATTGTCTGTAGCTGCCAAGTCTCTTTAAGGCACCTTTAGTCTGAATTTCTCTTTCAACTTTCATGACCTTGGCAATTGTGAAGCTCACAGGCCATATTATTTTGTATTCTGTCCTCCATGTGGATTTGTCATTTGTTTATTCTTGTTTAGATTTAGGTTATGCATTTTTGACAGGAATGTGGAAGAAATGCTGTATTCTTCTCAAAGCATCCTGTCAGGTGGCACAAGATTTCCATTTGTCCTATCATTGATGACCTTCCCTTGATCATTTATGTCTGCCAGGCTTCTCCACAATTTATTCTGTTCCTCTTTGGAATTAGTGCTTTTTAGGGGGAGGGAGGACTTTGAGGCTATATAAATATCCTGTTCCACGTGTAGTTCGTGGTCCCCAACTAGGGCAACTTTGACTCTCATGGGACATTGGGAAAGTGCCTGGAGACATTTTTGATTCTTACAACTACGGCCACTAGAAAATCTAAACTTTCATATGTGGCTTGCATTCCATTTTAATTGGGTAGGACTGGCCTAAAGCAGCGGCATCTAGCAGGTAGGGGCCAGGGATGGTGTGAAACATCCTGCAATAAACAAAGCAGCCCCACAGCAGACCCATCGGTCCAAATGTCAGTAGTGTTGCTACCGAGCAATCATGACTTATTTGTCTTGGTGTGGCTTTGTGGTTTCCTACCTTAGTCAATGGGTTATAACCTATCACTATGTTTTATGTTGATGTTCAAACTGTCCCATTAGGCCGGTGGGAGCTCATCCGTGATGGCTGCGAAGTCCCTTAGGCACGTCCTCTGGCTCTTTGAGCACTTTCTTACTTTCTGGCACGAGATATTCAAGTGCATCTTGTGCTGCTTCTGCCACAGCCTTGGAATCAGCCATTTCTGCACTGAGCTCTGGTTCCTTCTTGTGGAATATGGTATTTTAAGCCAAAACCTGGCCAGCAGATGTAGTCACTGCTATCTGGGGGCTCAATGTTCTAAGACACTCAGGGCCAGCATGTTCACACATTTAGGGTTGTGCAAATTGATGGCTTATAGCTGGCTACAGGTACACGGCCAGACATAAAAGACACTGCTGGACACTTCTACCTGTGTCTCCTGAAATTTTGATTCCTCCACATATCTTGATGGTTCATGGAGATGAAACAGGTCCTGAGCAGCAGCTAAGAAACCACCCTGGGGAGTCATCAGTGACCCTGTTGGGGCTCTGTGGCTTACCTGTGCTTTCCTGCTCTTGCTAAACCACATACGAC